CTGGGAAGTCTGTGGATATATTTTTGGTGGTTACGGTGATGGAGTTTTATCATCCATAAAATCAATTTTACTTTGGAAAAAGGGCTAAGGGCACCTGGGTGGCTCAGTCAGTTAAGCATCCAACTTCAGCTCAGGTCATGATCTCATAGTTCAAGGGTTCGAGCCTCACGTCAGGCTCTATGCTGACAGCGCGAGCCTGCTTTGGATTCTCTCTCTCTCCCCCTCTCTATCCCTCCCCCTGCTCACACTCACTCTCTCTCTCTTGCCCTTTCTCAAAAATAAACATTTTTTTTTAAAAACGGCGGGGAGGCATTACCAAGTTTTTGCTATAGAAAAGGGGCACAGGGTCTGATATGGTTGAAAACCACTGCTCTAATGGGTGGCTAATGATAACAGTAGCAGCTTTATTATAATATTATATTGATGGTGTTGGGCTACCAGGGTTTGATTGGGAGAATTGAAGAAGAAGGGGTGATAAGGGTTCCCTGACCTGGTGCTCCAGTTTGAGCCCACAATGGGCTGGAAAGTTGAGAACAGGACCAGAGACCACAGTAGGAGTTGCCTGGTGTCACTGATAAGGTAACACCCTGTCAGACCCCGTCCCTCCTGGACATTCCCAGCTCTCTGGTACCCAGGACCCTGACTCTGGGGTCAGCGGGACTGTCCCTGTGACTTCTGTTGACTTCTGCTGGTTACAGATTTGTATGTTCATAGGTTGTTTTGTTGGCTAAGCCACCTTCTTGAAGCGCATTCCCTCACACCCTCTGGACCGACCTGGGAGGTAGTCCGCCTGTGTTCTCCTTGAAGAAAGCAAGTTTCGTCAGGTTTGCTGCCTTTGAACTGTTTGGCAGACCTCTACAGAGCAACAGCAGCCCAGATTTTCCCCGAGAGTAGATCTGATTCACAGTAATATTATTTAAAGTCTCACTTGTTCTCACATGATGGTAATGGTAACAGTAAGAGTGGATTTGATCAGCACATACCGTGCATCAGTCACTGTGTGAAGTGCCTTAATGCTCACGGGAACCCCACGGGGTAGAGAAACTTGGGGCTTAGAGCGTTTCGTGACTTGTCAAAGGTCCCACGGCTAGTTCGAGATGGAAGGAGAAGAAGTGACACACATCTGTTAGCTGGAACACCTGTGCTTAAATCGCCGTCGCCCTCACTAACCCACCCCTCAGCCATTGATCTAGAGAAGCGATGCAATTTAGGAATGGTGTTGTGTTTTTTTTTGGTTTTTCCAATCTGAAAAGGCTGAAAGGCCTTGGTGTGGTTCATAGAATCTCAAAACCCAGTGAAAGAGTTATTGTGGGTCCATAAGAGTTATTGTGGGTGTGTGATGGGGGGAGGGGAGCTGCGGGCTGTGGTCCTCAGAGTGGAGCAGGTAGCCTTTCATCCAGTAGCAAAGGCTGCCAGCCAAGGCCAGGAGGAAAACAGGCTTCTCCTGAGAACTTGCTGCCTGGACCCTTTCCCACACATGTATTTTTTTTTCTCTGGTTGAAGTTCAGGGCTACAATTCCTGTCCATTCCAGTCAGAAAGTTGGCCGCCCCATCAATGATTTCCTGTGCCTTGATGATAAATGGTTTTCCTCTCTAAGAGATAAATTTGTATTTTGGAGGTCTCAATGCACTTTGATTTCTTTATAATGGAATTTCATTCAAATTAGTTTCCCAACTGTGACCTGTTCCAGGGCTCGCGGCCAAAGTAAATTGTGCTAATGAGGAATAAAAGAAACTTCAGGAAAATCATGTGCTCCTAAATTTCAGTCATGGATGAGGCCTTAGGGATCATCTAGTCCAGGCTTTTCATTTTATAGATAAGGAAATGGAGTCCCAGGGAGAGAAGGAGGAACGCGTCCGGGATCACGTCGCCACTTCTGGCACTTTCTACTGAAAGCGCCTCCACTGAAGGGAGTGAGGATGGCATTTTTCTAAGATTTGTCAGGTCAAAGACTTGTCAACACAAAATTCCAATGCATGCTAGACTGTGACTTGCCAGGACATAAAGACACGATTAGAATTTTTTCTTAAGACTTAGTTTTGTGTACTAGACAGATTTTTTTTTTCCTTTTAAACTAGGGAGCTTTATGGTTTGTAAGTGGTCCCTGGTTTTCTTGTAAAAGTCTTACCCATTTGCCTTATAGAACAGGGCTTGACAAGCTGTGAGCCAAATGGGTCCATTGCCTGTTTTTGCAAATCAAGTTTTATTGGCATACAGCCGTGCCCAATCACTTACTGTCCACAGTGGTGGACTTGAGTAGCTGCGGAGACCTTGTGACCTGCAACACCTAAAATATTTACTCTCTCACCCTTTATAGAAGTTTGCTAAATGCTGCTGTAAGAGATCTGAAAACAATAAAAAGGACACTAAGAAAATAATTATCCGTATCTCACCCTCAGGGACTTACATGGATTCTCATTTCACCATTCTCCTGGCTTTTTTTTTTTAAGTTTGTTTATTCATTTTTGAGAGAGAGAGAGAGAGAGAGAGAGAGAGAGGGAGAGAAAGTATGAGCAGGGGAGGAGCAGAGTAAGAGGGAGAGAGAGAATCCCAAGCAGGCTGTGTGCTGGCCGCACGGAGCCCAACACAGGGCTCAGCCCCATGAACCATGAGATCATGACTGGAGCTGAAATCAAGAGTCTGACACTCAACTGACTGAGCCACCCAGGTACCCCCTGGCTAAATATTTTGAAAATTTCTGGCTACTTCCTAAGAATAAACTCTTAGAAGTAGAATTAGTGAGCCCATGGTTGTGAGTGGGTTTTAAACTCCTGGTACCTTGCGCACGACATCTTCTCAGCTTGCATTTCCGCCTGTGGTGCCTGTGCTTTGCCAGCATTCATCAAACAAACAAGACCTCCTTTGCTAACAGTTTGGTTTTGCTTCCATCGATTCAGGGGCAGGTTCAAGGCTGTGGTCTGTGTCCTGTCTGCGGTCACAACGTGCCTGGCGTTTGTCAAGCCCGCCATCAACAACATCTCTCTGATGACCCTGGGGGTTCCTTGCACTGTGCTCCTGGTTGCAGAGCTAAGGAGGTGGGTACCTTCATTCTTCCTGCCCACCCCTGAGGCTGCCCCTGGGTTGGGAACATACCGGCTTCTGGGGTTTTTGTTTGTTTGTTCATTTTTTACTGCCCTCAACTGTGGAAAAGGAATCGGACTCTTTACATAGAGTTAGTTTCTGACTATTGGATTGACAGCACATTTGATGGTTTGGTTCAAAACGTTAACGATCTCACTTCCAGAAAGAGGGGAGCAGCTGTTTAGTGGATGCAATATATCCCAGTGATCTGAAGCTAGCTTAGCAGGAAGATCTCAGGGACCTGGTGAATGCTCAGACCAGCCTGCCTAGACTTAATTCTGTACAAAGAATAGATCTGTTCCTAGGACGAGAATAAGGAGAAAAGTCCTAACGAGGCTATTGCATTCACACACAGAAGGAAAAATGAATGTCTATATACGAGGCAACATTGACTCCAGGTATAATACCGTTGACTGTGTTATTTTCCCTGAAGCTTAGTCTCTTATTTACAACCTATCAGGTAAAGCCTTTGCTATTTGCCTAAGGATTTTCCTTTGGGAAGTTGTATACTCAAGTTCAGGTTGATATCTACAAGTAGTTTAGCCTTGTGTGTACATGATCTCTTTAGCCCCCAAACACATCTAACCACTGTCCTTATTTTAATACCCTGAAAATGCAGCTTTTTCTTTGTGCCAGTGTTTAGAAATGCATTTTAATTCATGACTTTCTCACTGCTATGGATGTAGCGTGTCCTAACTGAAGTCTGGGGCCCCTCTTCCTTTGTGTGAGAGTTGCTCTGTGTAAGATGTTGTCAGCTCTCCCTTCAGTCTTTGAGAGGAGACATACGGTTCTTCCCACTGCTCTGCCTCTGGGGGTTGCTTTGAATGTCAGCAATACCAGGCAGGGTCAAAGGTGGTTGAAGAAGTATTTTAAGGCACTGGCTGGCAGAGGAAGGAAGCTGTCCCGTCTTGTCTTGTTGCTTTCCTTCGGTAGCCTTGGAAGAGTGGAAGAACAAGAGACTGGCTTTAGAACGCTAATAGATTTTTGAAGCTCTTTGGGAAACACACACGTTGTCAATAAAGAGATCTGAAATGAATTTGTAATGGTCCAGTGGTACTGGCTTATATTAGGCCTGATGTGAATAGAATGTTCTGGACGTAGGTTTCTTGAGAATTCACTGCAATCTAGTTCATTTTAACTCTTGAATCTAATATGTTTTAGCCTATAATTTTGTTAAAAAGTAGCTTCAGGAAAGAGAAAATATTTTTAACTAATAATATTTAGGGGCGCTTGAGTGGCTCAGTCTGTTAAGTGTCTGACTTCAGCTCAGCTCATGATCTCATGGTCGTGGGTTCGAGCCCCACATCGGGCTCTGTGCTGACAGCTCAGAGCCTGGAGCCTGCTTCGGATTCTGTGTCTTCCTCTCTCTGCCCCTCCACTGCTCACATTCTGTCTCTCTCAAAAATAAATAAATATTAAAATATTTAAACAAGAGCAAATGGGGTTGGGACAAGTGGTTAGGACAGATTACTGTTTAAATAAATTCTGCTTCACAAGTGTGATCTTTAAGCGAGGAAAAATTTCCCTTTAATACTCTAATCTTTGCACATAATTACAAAAGAAATCATCTGTTTCGTACTTGAGATCTTCGCCCCTGAAAAGCTAGCCATCACTGCAGCTGATTGGTCTCCATCATTGTAACCAATGGCAGCATCATGGGAAGTATCCCTCCATCCTGCTAGGGTCTGTCTTTCAGCCTAGGGATTATTCCCTTCTTTCTCTTATGCCTACTTTATTCCTGTAAATTGTCTACTGGTCCTTGATCCGCCTTTCAAAAAAAATTTTTTTTTAGTTTTTTAATTTTATTTAAACCCAAGTTAGTTAACGTACAGTGTGATGATGGTTTCAGAATTCAACGATTGATCACTTACAAATAATACCCAGTGCTCATCCCAACAAGTGCCCTCCTTAATGCCCATAACTCATTTAGCCCACCCCCCCTCCCAACACTCCTCTTAAAAGGTCTTTCCCTTTGGCCTGTAAAAACACTGGAGTCCCTCTTTCTTCCCTAGCAGTCAGCCTGGACTCAGTCCACGACTCTCTCCAGCCACCACCCTTTCTCTCCCTCATCTGTCACAGCCCAGCATCTTGGAAGTGTTTATTTTATATATATGTGTGTGTGTGTGTATAAGCGATCTCTATGCCCAACGTGGGGCTCGAACTCAAGACCCCAAGATCCAGACTCATACATTCTACCAGCTGCGCCAGCCAGGTGCCACAGCCCAACGTCTTTAAAAGTGGCCTTCATTTGCCCAGCTCTCATTTCTTCAGCCCGCTGCAGTCTAGCTTCTGTCCCACCTTGCTACCCAAGCTCCTCTTGGCTGTGCGTCCAGTGATGGTTTTTCAACGTAACTTACGTGTTCTTCCCTCAGCTATTTGCGCAGTTCACCCCCCTCGTCTTTGAAACCTTCCGAGCGCCTCTTAGGATGCCACACCTTCCTGGGATGCCACTCCCTCCACGGCTTCTTTTCAGTCTCTCGTGTAAGCTCGTTTGCTGTGCACCTTTGCGGGTAGGGGTCCCTTCAGGTGACAGCTCACCTCGGCTCTCCTCCCTCTACATTTCCCCCTGAAGGAGCTCATCCACAGCCTGCAAACATCTGCAAACAACTCCCAGCTGTGTGTCTGACCCCATCCTTCCTCCTCCCTCCACCACGGCGCATCTAGCTGCCTGTCCGACCTCTGTTCCCACCTGTCACAGCCATCTCGAGTTCAGCCAGATCACCGATCTGCCTTTTCCAGTTCTGGCTCTCCCAACATTTCCAGCAGCAGTAAATGGCACCATTTACCCATTTGCTCAAGACAGAAGCCTGGCTTCCTTTTCCTTTCCTGAGCATCCCCTCTGATCATAGTCCTTTTTCTATTAGTTGACATTACAATTGAGATTAAAGTTCAATATCCCCAGTGTGGCCCCTTGCTTGCCTCTAATATTTTTTGGAATTGTTTTAGCCAACATCGCAGTTAGGATGAAGTTCAAAATCCTGACGTAGCCCCTGCCTGCTGTAGCTCTTTCCTGCATGAAGCTCCCTGCTATACTCTGCCCTCAGCCGTTTTGACCTTCCCTATCCCCAAGGGGGTTTAGTTCTTTCTGTCCCCAGATCCTTGTTCATACTGTCCCCTTCCTTCTGACCCTTCTGTTTGGCTCACTTCTGGCTCACCTTTGACTCACCTGTTTTGGCTCAACTGTTTATACGCCGTCATAGCACCTCAGACTTCTTTCTGGCCCCCAGCCTGACTGTAATTAAAAAATTATTTGTCTGCTGTTTTGTTTACGGTCTGTCCCCTCTGCTTGATGTAGGCTCCACGGGCAGGAGTGGGGCCTCTACGTTCACTGCTGTGTCTCTGTCCCCACTGGGATCCCAGCAGGGAGAGAGAAGATGGTTGTTGGCCAGCTTTGATGCAATTCCCAGACGAAGAGATGTCTTTGTTGCTCTTTGCATTTCCTTCCAGGACCTTCCCCATTGTCATTAGCAATGATCTGTAATGTGCCAGCCAAATATTTCTCCTCCCACCTCCCTCTGCTCAGAAGGAACTGGGGAAGCTTTTGGTTTCTCATTAGCCTCATTCCTAAAGCTCGTTCCTTGTCTTTCCATATTTTCATTGTCCTTTCCAAACCTTCTCTCAGACAAGGAAGCAACAAAATTTTACTTGGGGTTATGATTGGACATTTACTGAAATTTGTGGTGGGGTCATATTACCCAGGGACTCAGGTGCATTTAACACCTTTTAAGGTTGGCGCTTTTCTTCTGATTATTAGGAGTCAGTTAAGGAAAACTTCGAGAATACAACTAAGGGTCAGGAAGAGAACTGTAGCCATCATCTCAGATTTTTTTTTTTATCCTAAAATAGGGCCCTCCTTGTGTCTATCACTTTTGTTCTGTTGTTTGTTTTTTTTTTCTCCATTTACCCTCACGTTTACATTTTGATCTAAGCCCTGAGAAATGGGAATAAAACCCAAAGGAACCCAGGTTTGGACAAGACCCACGGAGAGATATGCCTGGTCAGTAGCAGGCAGCAGGACCTGTCCCTCTAGAAACAGAGGAAGGGACATCATCAGGCCACCCTGAGACCTTGACTCTGAAGTGCTTTCCCCACATGTGACTCATCCCCTGACATTCTGCCTCTCTTGCCACTTCAGGATGGCTCTGCTCCTCCTCTGTCTCAGCTCCTCTTTCTCTGCCTCCTCAGGTCTCGGCTTCAAGGGCACCTTCTCAGATAGACCTTCCCTGACAGCCCCTCCCCCATTACACTGTCCACATTGGGGGCACCCGCCAGTTTCCTTCCTGACACTCGTCACTAGCTGACATTGTTTTTATTGGTGTAATTATTCGTCAAATGTTCACGTAGGCACTGCCTTTCTAGCATATTGTGATGTGTTCTGGTGTGCTCCTTAAAAAAACAAAAACCTACAAATTTTGGCTTAAGTTTATTTATTTTGAGAGAGAACACACGTATGAGGGAGGGGCAGAGAGAGAGAGAGAATCCCAAGCAGGCTCCACACCAGCAGCGTGGAGCCCTATGTGGGGCTTGAACTCATGAACCCTTGAGATTATGACCTGAGCCGAAACCAAGAGTCGGACGCTGAACCGACTGAGCCACCCAGCTGCCCCCAAAGTTTCTAGGTTTAATTGAGTGTACATGGGTCCTCTTTTGTACCAGATTGGCCATATTTGTTGACATTTGTTTTTGTCCATTTTCATTTTAAAATGGCAAGGCAAGGGTCCTGTTCATTTTGCCTTTTGTAGTGCCTGGCATGGCTTCAGAGAATTTGGTACACAGTCAGCATGGTTACTTTTTTTTTTTTAATCCAGAAAAAAAAAAA